AGGGCCAAACCATAGTAAAGCAAAACCCAACTTATGGGTCCAAATAATAGTTTTATTAAACAAACAACATGCCACACAGCCCCATGAAGTTACTGGTTCGCGCGCACACACACCCACGCACTCACAGTGGCAAGCAGGAGAAAGAGACTCTGAGGAACGGTTGGAGTCCAGGTGGGGAAGAGAAGCAGAATCCAAGTCCTTGGTTGAAGAGGGAGTGGGGGATGATAGCTACCTATCCAGGCTGGAAAGGGGTCCTCGTCCAGTAGGTGTTGTCCAGAGGGGGGGTGCCAGCAGGGCCTCTGGGTGGATAGGTGGTGTGGCATGGTGCTGGTCCAGATGGAGAGGGCATCCCAAGGAGTCAGTCTTCACTACCCCTTTTATGGGGCAGATGACCTCTGATCTCCTATGGGGAGGGCCTGTCCAGGCAAGGTCAGTCTTGTCCTAGAGGCACCAGGTGTTCTCACTGAGCACGTGCAGCCTGGCACAATGGTGGGTTGCCTCATCGTTTGTGTCTTGAATGTGGAGGGTGGTTCCAAGGGCCAGGTCCTTGGTCCAGGTATTGGTGTTGATGGTTCAGTCATTCAGAGGGAGCTATTTTTAGACCTATTGCCATTGTCTTTCAAGCACCCGCATTCATCATCATTCATTCAGGAACCAAGTTACATGGGAGGGGTAATATGAGTCATGGGTTACACAACCAGACCTGGGGACAGGATGGAGACTTGACAGACAACATGGAAACTTGACATGACTTACACTAACTTACATATGTAGACCTAAATCATATAGTACCAGTAAAACAGTAATATAGAACAGTAAAAATCAATATAAACATAATAAATTATACAATATAAAGAAGAAGAAAAAACAAATACAACTTGCTACAGAAATAAAATGCTGAAGCTTATCTTATGTCTTAGCTCACTTATACTTATCTATAGGGAATAGAGAGGGAAAGAAAAAGTCAGAAATGGTTGGGAAAGGGGAGGGAATGCATTTTAAAAGAAAAAAAAGGGGGGTTTTGCTACAACTTGATCACTTGTGGGAAGTTCATGGGAAAATACTCTTGTTTCAATGCTCTCAGAAAGAATGGTTACTTCAAACGCTACATTTTACATATATATTAAGATAAAGTGATAATGTAGAAACTGAGAAATGATTTGTGCAGTATGATACTCTTTCTTGTGGTTTCAGTGTACAGATTTAGTAATGTATAACACATTAATTTCCCCTTCTGACAAATGCATTATCTGATGAGTTAGAGAAAAGGTTTCATGACACGTTCACTTGTGATTGGTTTGGACAAGGGTACCGAATAATTCTGTAGAAATTCTAATTCTTCTTTGGAGCAGAAATCATTGACACAAGAGAGAATTTCCAAATTGCTGCTAAATATTCTCTGTCATTTGCCACGGCTTCTGAAAGAACAGTCTACATTTTTCATCAAATAAACCAGAGCATGTGTGTGTTTGCCTTAATGCAACCATGTCATTTCTTTTTCTTTTTCTTAGTGTAAAAAAGAGAGATGAGCTAGACCTATATTACTCTTAGCTGGACTTTTTTTAGAAAACATCTCATTTAGCTTACCCAAATGTCATGGGCATACCAGCTAGAGCATCTGCTCTGAACCTTCTCCAAAGAGATTACTGAAAGCCTCATAGGACAGATGAATGAGACCTCAAGACGAACTGCCTTTGAATAAAGCAAGTTTCTTTCAAGTGCCACAGGCATGTAAAGAAGTATTTGGTACCAGTGTCCCTTCATCTTCACCACATTTCTGGGAGAAGCTAGCTTCCCGAGTTGGTTTCCTACCCCAGGTCTGTTAGTCCTCTGTTGGCCAGCTCTGTGCCCACTGCAGAAGTCACAGCAGTTGCAAAAAAGGCAAGTCAGATGACATCAGCTTCTCCAAAATTGCATTCTCATCCCCTCTTTTTTCAGTTGTTTTTTGCCATCTAGAAACAAAGTGCTTCCAGACCGAGGCCCTGCATCTCCTCTGCCCCTGCCCTGCACTTGGTGGAGCCAGGTCCTTTTTTAAAATGCTGTTAAACTATGAAAAAAAATATTTGAATCCCACATGAAACCTATTTCTTTATCAGTGACAAGGCATGTTGCTATAACAGGGCTACTTCAGTATTACCATTTTAGTACTTTATATTGAGGTTTTTTAATGTTAGTGGTGGTAACATTGGTTTATGAAGCCAGTAAGTCTCAAGCTCTAGTGAACAGTCCACACTACAGTACATTTAATGAAGATAAGGGAGTATTACATACTTGAGCAATTCTCCTGTTCTCAGATGCTATTTGAGATATACCTTAATCAATCAAATTGACACTTTTTTCCCTCTACCATCATTCCAAACAGTAAAATATAACTTAACAATGAGAGTGTAAAAATGGTCTTTTCATGTTTATCTGGTGCACTCAATCTTTAAATCCATTTTGGTAGTTTATTGTTTGTTTTAAAAGTGGCAGATTAGCACTGCCTATATGCAGGAGAACTTTATAAAATAGATATCTTCATACATTTTTCATGTCACACCATGTTTCAGCAGAGCTGTAGTTTTGAAATTCAAATTGAAACCAGACTTGCAGACCTAAAACAAAGTGTAGGATTTCAGCAATGGAGAAGAAACAGGTTGTAACTTCGTGAACCTTCTGCATTGCACATCCAGCTTTTCTAGAACGTTCCAGCCAGCAAATTGAAGTCCACGTCACAGACACAGGACAGGGCCAACCATAATGAAATGTGTTTGACTTGAGCTGTCTAGATAAATGTTCATTTTAAGTAGGACTTGTCAGTTTGTCATGTGTTGTTACTGTGGCCTGCAAATCAGTTGCCTGGAGGGGTGGCCAGTAAAACCTTTGGCATGATATAAGATCATTAGACTAGGCAGTGTGATTTTTTCCAGCTCTTCCACATGAGAGTGTCTGACAAAGTAGGTTATTGCCTACAAAAGCCCACACACCTCTTCGAGTCAAGTAGTCTGTAAGGTGCCTCCTGGTCTGAGCTAGCTAGTCTCTATGAACAGGTAGCCATCCTGCCCTGCCACTTCCCGTGTCATCTGTTTTCCAGCACTCTAAAACTGAGAGTGAAGAACAGTTTCGCATGTCAAAATCTGTTTGCTATGTAACTTTAGTATTTTACTAATAAAGGTAGTTTACGGAGATATGCTGTGGCAAAATACTCATTCCACTGAAAACTACAACATTTTTGTAACATTTAAGCAATTGTTCATTTCAGATGAACAGTTATGTCCTGAAAGTCGCAGGAAAAGTTATCACCTGGATCCCAGTGGGCCGTTGACTGAATGTGCAACCTACAGGAACTTAGTCGTGCCACCGAACACAGATGAAGGTGAAAGCAAGCAAACAGGTGAACGGCAAATCAGCTATAAACAGATTTTCACATTTTCATCAAAGCCTCGATCAGCCCCTCGTGGGAAGTCCCCGAGTATGTCGCCAGAAAGGTGTACGTTTCCCTTGGATGTAGATGAGACCTGTAATGGGCTCCGCAGAGAAGCCCAAATGGAAGATGACTTCTATGGGACTGACAGCAATGAAGAGGTAGGCTGCTTTATACCAGTAACTCTTAGTAAGGCACTTTTCACCCTAAAACTCTGAAGATGAGATTCTGTCTTGAGGTTACATAGGTCTTCAGAGGAGAGATGCCAGTCCCCCCTTCTCCTCCCTGCTGTTCAAACTCTATAAGCAAGTTTGCCTTAGCCACA